CACCGACACGCCACTGCCCCGCTAGCCTGACTCCACCACCACCCTAGGTATAACCCCCTCCTCCTTTGCATGCATGTTTTATATGGTCACGTAGCCCAGTTAGGCGTCTCCCGTTCGAAAGAGATACGGTCGGAGGTATGCAGATCTTTGCATATCTACGACCATATCTCTTTCGGATTGTCCACGTATTTTGGACAGCCCGCAGATGCGAAGATGAGGTTAGTTTCCATGGTTCGCTCCGGTCCGAGATAGACTTTCGGCATCACCTCCCTATTGTTCTCCGGATACACACTCTCCCTTGCAGGACGTGTATCCGGAGAACAGCGGGGAGGTGCTGCCGAAATTCTGTCTCAGATAGGAGCGGAGCATTGAAACTGACCTCATATACACATCCACGGGTGGGATTAGGACCTATCCTCACCTACTAGATGGTAGGAATGCCGTGCAGATGCAATTGCTGGTTATATTACTCGCTTACATACGTATATGCCAGAGGATGGAGAACCATGATTGGATGTACATGGGCCATGCAAGTATGACCCCAGAATGGATGACTAAGACTAATGCTTTCTTGGAGCATTCATTTGGCAAGGAAGAGGGTTGAGTCGGATGCCGTGTCCCTGCAGCAAATGTGACAACCGTGTAAGAAAGAATAGGAAGAACATGGGGGAAGATCTTTGCAAGTATGGATTCATGCCAAACTATACCTGCTGGATCCACCATGGTGAAGCCGATCGTATTAGAGAGGAGGTGGTGAGACCACGCCTCCAGGCTTTTGATGGAGATGCCAGGGTAGCAGACTAGATGGATGACTTTCAGGTGGAACGGTTCGGTGAAGGATTAGAGGACGAGCCAGAGGAATCTGCAAAGGCGTACTACGATATGCTGTCTTCGGCGTAGAAGCCCCTTCACGAAAAGACAATGGTTTCGCAACTGGATGCCATTGGACGCCTAATGGCGTTCAAGTCGCAGTGTAGCATGAGTCGAGACAACTTCGATGGTATGTTGGCAGTTGTTGGATCCCTGCTTCCGGAGGGTCACATTCTGCCGAAGAACTTGTACGAGTCATAGAAACTTCTTCGTGCCCTTAAGATGCCGTATGAGCACATCCATGCTTGTCCGAATGGTTGTGTCCTATTTAGGAAAGATCATGAGAAAGCAACGCACTGTCCAAAGTGCAAATCCTCTAGGTATCTGGAGGTCGACACTAGCGATGGCAAGAAGGAATAGCTTGGTATCCCCGCGAAGGTCCTACGGTACCTTCCTGTCATACCGAGGATCCAATGGCTGTACATGACAGAGGAGTCCGCAAAACAGATGACATGGCACAAACATGGCAAAAGATACAATGCTGACAAGATGGTCACCCATCGGATGGCGATGCATGGACCCATTTTAATGGCATACATCATGGTAAAGCTGAGGAGGCTCGGAATGTACGTGTAGCGCTGGCAACAGATGGGTTCAACCCCTATTTTGGTCAAAGGGCCTAAAAATGGATCGTGCGTAACTCCTATGTATGTCGATTGCGGATGCACCAATACTACGTGGATTGCTAGTGGCCCCGTACACTTGTTGGCCCGTGTTCGTGATCCCCCTCAATCTCCCCCCTAGTGTCATGTTTCAACCCAAGAACGTATTCTTGCCACTGATAATTCCTAGACACCCGGGGAACAAGATGGGTTTGTTCATGGAGCCTCTCATTGATGAATTGATCCTTGCTTGGGAAAAGGGGGTACTGACATACGACCAAGCTACAAAGAAGAACTTCACAATGCATGTGTGGTACCACTACTCCCTGCCTGACTTCCTGGCCAAAAGTGTTAGTTTTACAAAGAGCGCGTCTCCCGTAGTGCATGGCAATAGACGCGGCCAAAAGTGTTAGTTTTACAAACAAAAAAAACAGTGCTAAATTTAAAATTAGTTTACAAAAAAATGTTAAAAATAAAAAAAATCCGTCGCGTAGAGGTGCTGCGGGCTCATCATGTCCGTGCCCACGATGGCCACGAGGTGTCAACTGCAAAATTTTAGCGGCCTGCCGGCAGGCCGGTCTGTAAGAGTCAGCATAACAAATTTTGCTTGATCAAACTTATATTTGCAAGAAAAAAAAGGAAATTTAAAAATTGGACACTGCTCGTGCCCATGGTGATGGAGTTGACCGATGCTGTGGCCTGGCCGTTGCCAATCCCAACAACGTCTCAGATCGACCATGTCCCTGTGGGAGGCCTTGGAGAGCTGGAGGTGACGAAATGGAAGAACAAACTCCCCATTTCGTCTCAGCCTGGTGCTGGTTGGATCTCTGGTACTTCTAGGCTCAGGCATGCTCCTTGCTCCGAGCTGCACGGCGGGGTCGATCACCGTATGGTGCAACACCATTCCACATATCAACACTACATTGGACGACGGCTGCCTGCTCTAGAGTTTGTATAGGCAAGCAGGTCACCCAACCCCCACATGACCAATGACGAGTATCACAGCGTTGACTTCTTCTTTCACCCCGTCCAGAGGGAGACCTACTCATCAGGCCCCTTGGAGCTTTGTATTGTGATATATACTCGTCATCGATCATGTGTGGCTGGGTGACCAGTGTGTGCTTTAATATCATGATACAAACACTGGAGCAGGACGTCGTCGTCTGATGCAGTGTTGATAATATGTGGCTTGGTGTTGCACCGTACCATAAGGCCAACATGCATGCCGTTCTTGGGGCGCAGCAGGGAGCAGGCCTGAGCGTATGTAAAAGCACAGGAGATCGATCCAGCTCGCTAGTGGAAGGCCTGAGCGACAGTGTTGAGGCTGGCGGTGCAACCGCAGCGTGGATCTCCACGAGGGACACGTCCGGCGTGGTGTGGACGTAGCGGATGTCTGGGAGGTGCGTGGTGTAGGCGAGATGCGGCACGCTCTTGTCCATGCCCACCATGGCCTTGTACAGCTTCGCCAGCTACAAGATTTTAGCGGGTCCGTCAGAGTCAGAATCAGCTTAAGAAATCTTGGTTCATCAAACTTATATTACAAAAAAAAAGAACAGATAAAAATTGACACTGCTCTCGTGACGCATGGGGACTAATTGACTGACCTATGCTGCGGCATGGCCGTTGCCCGTCGACCCATGAACTGGGGCTGTTTTTTTTTTTAAGACGATACAACAGGGGACCCACACAACCCCGACAGTCCAGACTCACAAAATCCGCCGACACGCAAACAAAAAGATTAGGAGGCTCTAACCTTTAGTGCGCTGAATGTGTACAGTACCAGTGTACCACCGAACGTGCACGTAAAGAAAGAGATTAGGCTGCTTTCTTGTGAGATATGCTGAGTGTTCCCAGAAAGCCAACTACAGTACCAAACACCATTCTGAATCGGCAAGCGAAGTCACGAAACTGTTGCGGCCAGATCCTACCAATCGCCTCCATTCTGGTCAAGTTGTTGATGAGGATATATCATGTTGCTGGCTGTAACGAAAGACGCAGTAGACGGCAGCCAGATCCTCGAGAGTCGAGATCAACAGAGCAGAAAAATGAATAATGTGATTGTGTGCTAATTTCCGAAGTCTAGGTCGCAATAAATAATGTAGTTGTGCGTTCGTTTGTGGGATGCGAGAGCTCAAGATCCATGTGATTTCTTTTTTTTTTTACTTTTCTGGCTTTGTTGGTTATTTAACTGTTTCATAAATCAAAATCAACCGCTATGATTTGTTCTACAAGAGTTCTAAAACATAAAACAGAGGCGTCCGACGATAAAAACATCCTTCCAACGGTAGGCTAAATCATCACTCTATTTTAGCCATCGCTCTAATTGTCAAACCCTAAAATTTTAATTTTCTGACATGAATAAGAAAAACTAAATAAAAATTTATAATATCATTATTCTTTCAAAATTTTACGAAATTTATATAAATTGTTATCAATTTAGTGGCAGAAGAAATATGATTTACTAAATTGATTTGATATGGTTTGATTTTATTTGTTGCTTGCATGTCAAATGTATTTGGTGTGTATGCAGGTGAAAGTTTGTATGATATGTTTAGGAGACGAGTATCTTTTTCTATAAATTTTTCTAGAGTTTTCAAGAATTTGATTCCTCCATCTCCCAGTTAAATCCTTTTATGAGAAGCTCCTAATTATCTTTTTATGAGCTCTAAATAATTTATTCAGGTTCATGTTCCAATATACCTCTTGGATTTGTAATATGTATTACTTGCTTAATTAATAAGCATTGTTCAATTATACACTGATGAAGTTGCTATATGCATGATGTCCAGGTCATAAAAATAGTTACCATATGGTTTATTGTTAAAAAACGGGCATGACACAATTTTAACATCCATATGTTAAGTTGAAGTTCTAGTGTCCCAAATTTTTGTTTTAAATCTTAGATATTGAAATTAAAAAATTTTGGGCTAAAAATCAAGAGAACTTAAAATGAATAATTAACATCTAAATGACCTAGATAAAAATATTATCAAATATATAGTTGTAGAATATATTGAAACCTGCAAATTTGGTATAGATCGTATATGCATCACTACTACACATATAAGCATCCGAGGTCATTTGAAAAAATAAAAAAATAAATTTCAAAATTCTCCTTTCAAAAAAATAAATTTCCCATATATAAAAGAAGCGACCAAGGAAACCATCAATATATAATCCTACTTACCATCCTATCAAATATTGCAGGAGTTTGCCATTTTGCATAATCAAACAAATTCACCTTTCAAATACATTCCCAATGAGACAACAAGCAAAACACATTTGATCACATTGATCCCCTTTCTGCCTCCCCTCCCCACAAATCATCCCAACAGTTCTCCATGCAGTACTTACCCAACAAAACAGCAGGTGACGTTTCATATCAGGATATTAACAACTGCATCGACATATATTAGCTCTGTTGTAAATAAAAGAATATATATCATAATCAGCAATTAGCACCAAGTGGCAGAATTATATATACCGGCCTGCTTAAAGAGATGCAGGGGAAGTACAGTAGCTAAGTAGTTAGCACCTGAGTCTTGACCATATCCCCAGCTTGAAGTGGTGGATGTAGAACCTCAGGAAATCGTCACGGTAGGGTTGTTTGAAGACTGCGGTTGTGATAATGATACCATGAAAAGTCATTTTTCAAGCTAGCTACCAATCTGATTCAGGCGTATAGTAATAGTACAGAGACAACAAAAAATGATTTTACCAAGGGCAGAAAAAATGGCAGCAAATTTTCCTAGTTTGCCTAAGAACTTTCCATGGGAAAGGTGAGCGTTGTGCTTGTCTTGGTTGATATCGGCGAGTAGGCCATTAAGATCCTGGATAAGTAGCTTCTTCTTCCTTCTTGTGCTAAACTCTTCATTGCAGAGTCTCTTGGCAAGCCCATGTCCTGAACGACCCTGCTCTTCGTCAGATCAGGCTCCTTCGTCCCCTTCCCCTCCGGCGGTGGTGGTTCCTCTGCTGCAGGCCGAGGCCGCCGTCAAGCAAATTTGGATACGGGGTACTACACGGTTTGTCCCATGTCACACACACACACACACACACGTAAATCCAAGAATGAAGCCGTAAATAAATCACAAGACAATGCAGGCTAGCTAGGATACATATGGTCTATGTATACCTGCAGGGCTGGCGGCGTCCGGCGCCGGCGCGGCGAAGGTAGTGAGCTCTTGCTGCAGCCCCATCCGCGCGCCTCGGCATGGTTGACGTTGGATCCCACTCGGCGGAGGAATGAAGAGAAGCAATAAATAAAGTGCAGGCGGAAGGAACTTGAAGCGGCGGGCTTCCTCGATGGCCTCTGCCCTCCATGGCCATCGGTCTCCATGGCGGCCGATCTCGAGGGAACTGCGGCGGGCAGGGGCACCTGAGGCAGCGGCGGGGCAGGATCTATTTGTGTGTCGGCTCTCCTCCCCGCCGCCCGCAATCTTCTTCGCACCTCGGCCGGCGGCGGGCCCGCTCGGCCACGCGGCCTCGCCTAGCGGCAGCGGTGTGGAACGTTGCCCTCCTATCGTAGATCGAGTGTGGCAGAGCGGGAGAGGGAGGGGTTGGTGGTGAGGAGCGTTGCCGTCGGGAGGAGGTGACCGCCGCTCTCTTCCTGTTCCGGGAGGAGACGGCCGGTAGCGGCGTGGAGGAGGCGATAGGGCAAACGAAGCCCTATCGCAGCGTCCGCCTCTCGACATGCAGCCCAAGTACGATTGCAAACGGCGCGGGCCACGCCGTCAGCCCGCTGGGCCAGACCACGCCGCGAGCACGCATCAACCCGCACAACAGCCCATCTATCCGAAGCGGGTATGGGGAGCGGACACACGAAGCCCAACGGCGCCGCTCCAACCCGTCACGGACTCACGGGCGCGATGTATCCAAGAGCGCCACCGCCGCCGCCGCAACAGGCGACTCAGCCGCCGCCGTCGCAACCTCCACGGGCGGCTCGTCCCCTGCCGCGGCCATCGCCACGGGCGACTCCGCCACTGCCGCCATCGCCCCCCGCCGCGGCCGCCCTACGCCCCGGTGCCGTTGGGCCCTTCGCCGGCGACGAGCACCCACCAGGTATGCCCAGCCCTTCCCTCCCCTCCTTTCTGTGTCCGCTCGTGTAAAGTTTTTCTCATTTGAGGTAGATGGGCGGGTGTCTTTTATCGAGCAATGTCTTTTCAAGTCCGTCACCAATTGCTATCGGTAGTACGAAGCTGAGATGCAAAGCAGATCGGATCAAGCTGTAGTCACAATCAACTGGAATGAGATACTGCAAATCAGGTGCACTATTGCTGAAAACAGCATATGGCAACTGAAAGCAACAACACCAAAAGATATATTTTCCACTGATCCATGATTTGTTTTCTGCTGGAAAAGCAGCATCCACTTATTTTAGTGGCCTAGTTAAAAGACTGAAAATACAGTGACTGAATAGAATGTCTAGCCAAAAACAAATTGCTCCTGCCACCACCAATCTGTCCCGTGGTGATTGCCTCATACAGTACAGTACAAAATGCTAATGAGCGTCTCTTCTTGCAAAATGCTAATGAGCATCTCTTCTTGCAGGCCAATATGCTGCGGTTGTACCTCACCTGCATCGGGAACGCGCTGGAATTCTTTTTAGCTTCAGCTCTGAGGCTCCTCCTCCTGCTGCTACTGTTCCCAGTTCATCACGAGCCGACGAGCCTGCTGCAGTTGCAATGGAATCAACACCTGGTGGCACTACCACCACCACTATATTGAGAAGAAAGGTGAGTTCTGATATGAAGTTTTTCTTGTTGGATGCCGTACTGCAATTAGAACACTAGCTCATGCCGTCTCTATTTCTGCTGTCTTGTTGGGTCTCCATTTATTTTGCAGTTAGTTGAAATAACAGTGCTGTCATTTGTACTGCTGTGTTATGTAATAGCTATTTGTGTTCTCTGAGTTTCAGTCCTGTAATAGCTATTTTAGTTCTGCAGTTCACATTTTGTTCCCATGTGATGCAGAAAGTTTCCTCATCATCAGCTAAGCGGAAGCAATCCGGAGTGAAACAGTGAAAAGAACAACCAGCAAAACGGTTGAAGTCACCAGCAGGGCCAATGTCGCCACTCATTCCAGCAAGATCAACAGGGATAAGGATGATGCTATCATCCCCAAGGGTATCCCCAAGGCTGATGTCTCCATCTACGACATTGGCAAACTCCTCACCACAGCCCCCAACATCTGCTCTGGAGAAAAAAAGAAACAATCTTGGTCATGGTAAGTGATGATGTACTCTTTTGGTATTGTTTTTATGCTTCTAATCAGTGTTTTTATTACTGCTGCATCTGCTGTAGTTACTGTTATCTAATAATATGTTTTCCATGCCAATCATTAGGATCTCCACATCGGATTAAAAGGCGCAAACTTACATCTGAGATATGGGAAGATTTTGAGGCAATATATGACGGTGAAACTGTGGCTGAAGCTCGGTGCTTACACTGCCATAAGTTATTCAAGGTAAACCGTGATGTTGGTACAAGTGCTTGCCTTAGACATATGCGTAATTGTGAGGGTAAAACTAGAATGAATCAGATGTTGTATCAAATGAATTTAATGCAGTATGCTCTTGTTTAGCAGTCAGCAGCAGCAGCCAGCTCAGACTTCTTGTTCAGAGCTTACGGCGAGGCAGTGACAGCAGCAGTCAGCTTATGATTTTCATCTGTATGCTGATAGATGCTAACTTGCATGTTTTTATGATAACTCATGAATGGTGAAAAAATGTAAAAAAAATTCAATCACATATTCCTAACGATACATAGTATTTTGTGTAACTTACGTATATTTTTTAGCTAACATATGGATCACTAAAAAAATCGTGAAGTAAATAAGAAAATGAACACACACGTACACAACCAGTCACTATTCTCATTTCCATGCAAGGCAGCAGCGATAAACGGGATTGCGGCCGCCGCGACAAACGCCGCATGCGTACGCGGCTGAAAACGGGCCGCCGCAGAAGCCCGCGAACGATGATGCGGCGCTTGCGGACGCGGGACGGGCTGCTCGCCGCCGCGCCGTTTTCAAGTTTAAGCCCAAGGCCGGCCTCACGTCCACTTCACCAGAGACCAGGTCATCCATCTGAGCCCCTCTGCAATTTATATCGCTACCGCTTTTCTCTTTCTCTACCTGCACATTCACAATACCTGTGCACTGAATTCTTCCTGTCAATTCCTGTTTTCAGGCACCAGGCCTTCAGCTTTAATTTTATGAGCCTTGGATGATGTAATTTTCATCAAACTTAGGAATGTTTGGCCATGACTTGTTATGGAATTATTTATCGTAATCACGTTTGTCTTTCGGGGATAGGCACTTGAATGTTGTGTCAAAACATTTTTGTTTTCATAAGTCTGCTTTAATAGTTATGATTTTGAATTTAGACGTTCTTTGTGCCACCGAGTTCACCATACCTTAACTTTTTTCTATCCTCCACCACTGGTTCCGGCTGGGATGTTTTCTGCATCAACGCGCCGGCCCAAAGGATGGAGCCTGCGAACCTGCACTATAGAGTTCATGAATGAATAGTTGGGAAATCCACAATGCATCTGATATTTTTCGGAAGGATTTTATGTTTCTCATTTCCCAAACTATTGCTGATGCACTTAGAACGAAAATAAATATTGTTGTCGTTCTCTAATCAGAGTTGAGAAGCTTATTTACATGAGAATACTCAACTGATGACCTGAAACTAGTCATAGGCATCATGGGACTATGCTAATCATGATTCTCTCCCACATTAATTCTTGGCGCTTCGTGAAAATGGAGAAAAAACGTAGAAATGGAATTGATGAGTAGTTCATATTTCCCTATCATGTTTCCTACTGTCCAGTTAAGTAGGTGGCTGCTGACTAACCGTGATATTTTAATTTGCCGGTTGTTTATAAGGATAGGTTACATGGCCAACTTGCTTGGGTTGGTAAACGTATTGTGGGCCTCCCGAACTAATTGAGGATATGTGCTGTCTTAATCATCAGTGGTGCCGCAATATTTAGCTCTCCATCAATCCTCAGAGAGCAGTCAAGCACAAGCAGGGCACCTTAGGCGGCCGCAAGACCTTCGGGTTCTAGGAGGTTAGTGCTTCCATCTTCGATCTCGTTTCTGGTTTGAGTTAAGCACCTCCTTCGCACATACAAATTGTATATCCTGCAGCGATGCTGTTGACGTGTAGTGTATGCACGAACGAAAACTTCTATTTAAGCACCTGCTCCGTATACCTTATTTTAATTACTAGCATAATAGACACCAGTGGGAAGGCGTAAATTCAAGAGAAACCAGTGTGTGCAAGGGCCTGTTTTCATGAGCTAGAGCTAGTTACTATTTGGGTCTAAAAATTAGTTCAAATTAGTTGAGGTTGACTAGCTAGTTGGCTATATAAATGGCCATTTGGCCCGAGCACTATGGGCCGGCCCAGGCACGGCACTAAGAAGCACGGCCTAGGCACGGCCCGGCTCGGCTCGCTTCATGCACATGCACTGCACGGCCCGGTCAGAGTGCCGTGCTGGGCGCCATGCCATGTCGCCCGCAGTGCCCGGCCCGAGCGCGGCTTGCGAATAATAATGGGCCGGCACGACATGGCCCGCTTATTCTCCACCGTTGATGAGCAGCTGATGAACCAGAGCCGTTGGATACCAGTATATAAGCATCCCTCCCTCACCCAAACCCTAACTTCCTCCTCTCTCTCTCTCCCCCCACTCATTTCCTCAGCAGCGCCGACGCGAAGATAGGAGGGGATGGGAGGTGCGCGCAGTCGCGGGGCCATGCCCCGAGGGCCTCAGGGCGGCGGCGCGCCGACTCATCTGCAGCAGCGGTGGGCAACCCGGTGGCAGAGAGCAGCCATGGTGGTGGCGGGTGGTGGCGCATGCTGTGTGGCGCTCTACTGGTGGACGGAGGAGTGTGCAGGCGGGCAAAGAACGGAGGAGCACGTGGCCGGTGGCGGCGCATCTTCTTCCCTAGCGTGGCCGGCGGCGGCGCATCTTCTTCCCCAGCGGGTCGGCACGGTCCCGGGGGGCCGTCGTGCCGATGGGCACGGCACGCCACGGCTAATCCTCCATAGGGCCGTGCCTGGGCCGCAATTCCGGAACGGCGGCACTATCAAGCACGGCATGGCTAATCTGCCGTGCCTGACCGTGCCTGGCCGTGCCCGTGCCAGTCCTGTGCCGGGCGGCCCGGTTGGCCAAGTATAGTTGGCTAACAACTAATTAAGGACTTATTACCTCCATATTTAAATGTATTAGGGCTAAAAATTAGTTAGATAAAAACTAGCCCTACGCATACACACAAATCCTAAGATGTAATGCAGAGGTATGCCATTCTGAAATGTAAGTGAAGAAGGCAATAGAACTCTCTTCTTAGCATATCGATGGATTGCAGACGTACTCCTATTAGGGCTAAAAATTAGTTAGATAAAAACTAGCCCTACGCATACACACAAATCCTAAGATGTAATGCCAGAGGTATGTCATTCTGAAATGTAAGTGAAGAAGGCAATAGAACTCTCTTCTTAGCATATCGATGGATTGCGGACATACTCCTGAAAAGGTTGTCCGTTTCCAAGGTTCAGAAACAGGTTGAGCACAACTATTTGCTGCACTGTGAACGATCATAGAAGCATAGCACATACCAAAACCTATGAAAATACTGCTAAGTATAGAGATTTTGGACAACACCTTGATTAATCATTTTCCAAGGTTGCACTCTGTTGCAGACAAAACACAATCATGCAACCAATGGTCTCTGTCACCATGTCAGTATGTCAGTTGAAGAAAAGGATGTATCATTTGGTTATGTACTTCCTCCGTTCCAATTTATAGGTCGTTTTGGTATTTCTACGTACACAATTTTTAGTATGTATTTAGACGCATCGTATATCTAAGTGCATAGCAAAAGCAATGTACCTAAAAAAGTCAAGAAGACATAATTTGTGACAGATGGGGTACCCTAAAATGCAGAATGGTAACCTGTGCTTTGGATCTAAGCACCTTACTTCTCAAATGTTGGTGTCAGCTACCAACCAAGAATTTCAGTGCCAGTTATTGTTTTTCTGACACATTTTGCTGTACTTGATTGCTAATGCCGAAGAAAATAGTAATAGCGTATATACCCAGGGCATCTCGAAATGGTGAAAATAACTACTTTATTTTGTTTATTATATGTATGCAGAAAAGGCCTGGTCTATATCATTCGATCATTCATGGATCTAGAAATAAACTTAGAGGAGTTGACAAGGATTACTGACAATTTTTCTGTAGAGAAAATAGTTGGTTGGGGTGGTTATGGAGAAGTTTACAAGGTAATAACTTGTTATTTTCTTTAAGTTTACACTTTACAATGAATAAGAAACACTTTTAATTATTTCCTTAGAACAGGCAGAATACAAAGGGAAACAGATAGCGGTGAAGTTGCTTCATACGAGCCAAGGAATTGGCGACAAACAGTTTTTGAATGAAGTCAGTAACCATATGAAGGTCCAACATCCCAACATCGTACGGTTAGTTGGTTATTGCAACCTTCAAAGGAAGATAATTATTGAGCAAAACGATGGTGAACTGCGCCAGGTTTTTATTTCCTCTCCGCACTTGCAGATTACAAGATCAATCATAGATTTTAGACTGATGAACAGGGACAGCCTGACTCATATATGTATGCAATATTTTTCTTTCTTTCTTGCATGCGGGACATCCGATTCTACAGGTTGCTTTGATCAGTCTTAATGGCAGCTGAGATGGTCGGTTCTGCGGTGGCCCAGGAGGCTGTTAACGAAGTCTTATCAAGAATCAAGGAGGGTTATGCGGAGAAGTCAGATGCAAAGGAGCACATAGAGAGGATGGAGATGGCCCACATCAAGCTAGAAGCTGCCCTTGAGACATCCAAGAAGTGGAACGTCACCAGCGCGCCACTGCTACGCTGGCGGAGTAAGCTCAAGCGTGCCACACAGGAGTGCAACCACACTTTGCGCCAGTGCAGGCAGCGATTACAAGAAGAGGAAGAAGTGCAGCAAGCGGTACAGAGCTCCTCCTTTCCTAACAGGGTTGCTAATACTGCTATGTCATTTGTTTCGTCATCTTTAGTAGCGGTAACGACGACAAGCTCAGAGGATCCACCGTTCTCCGGCGATTCGAGCGCTTTGCAGATGGTGCGACCGAGTTCTTGAGGTACGTGGAGCTTGGTGGCACACCATGCAGATACATGTTCTCCGTGCCTCTTATACGCCATCTTCTCGCTGGCAAAGGAACAAAGTATTGCTTTGTTCGTGGGGGCCAACATCTCTCACTTATTCTACAGCCCTTTAGTCTACCCGACAATGGGACGGGGGGAGCTTGGTATTCTTACTTGAAGATGGCAATGTGCCACAGAATAATTTCCTTCTTTCCCTCAGCTTACGGCTCTCTGAGAGTACTGATATAGTTGGGGTTGTAGTCAGATGCCTGCAGCTGTTCATACCGTACTTGAGCTCCATAGCCGAGACTGTGAAAACAAAGCTGACCCAGATGGGAACGCAAGATTTGTGTTGGGTGTTCGATGCTTATTCAGTTTATCACTGTGAAGAACAACAGAACAGACTTCACACCATGTGTTCTAAATGGTTTCGACCGAACCCATTTTGTTGTCAACAACAAGACCATCCCCACCCACAGAGCTCCTCTTCAAAATCATTGCCATGTGATATATACTTGGAATCAGTTTTCCAAGTGTATTTGCTAGTGACATGTTACACTATCAGTTGGGAACAATAGGCTGAGTGCAGTCATGGATGGCGAAAGCCAAGCTACCTCATATCAGATGTTATCGAAGTCCAAGCATGGAAGCGCGTACCTTCGGGTTGAGAAGACCTCATGGAGAGCAACTACTAGGAAGGACGACAAAGTTGGAAAACGCCGTAAGCAACGACAGGACAAGAAGGTTCCAGTTCAGGGATGGACAAGTGCTCACAATGAATTCGTTAGCTCATGGATTGCGCACATGCCTGCACAGTTGCAGGGCTCGGTCGTCGACTATTGGATTCACAAAGAAAAGCGATCCACACCACCGTTTTTATTGAAAACTAACGCCTGCGTCTATGATTGTGCAATCACGATGTTGTCTTCGCAAGATCACAGTTATTTGGCAAGGAAGCTCAAGATGTCCAGCATGTTAAACCCCTGAAGGATTTCCACTTGCTTGTACTACCTTGGTGTACATAAAAAAGTTGAACAGTTGGTGTGTGTTGCAAATATAGCTATAAATGTAATACTCAATTCTAAATTATAATACATTTTGGAATTTCTGAATATATTGTTTAATTTTTATTATATATCTAGACACAGTGTATCATGACATTCCTCGGCCCTTTCACACATGTGTGCCACGATCGTTCCCAATGCGTGACCGGTTTCTCGTGGGGCCCATCCACACATGTAAGTAATGTGAGCACACATGGCAGAGCGTATGGTGGGTTTCATGAGTGCCTATGCTGATCGGTTTATTCAAACCTGGGTGAAGGATGTGCCAAGTATTGAAGTTGAGAGTACAAAGTTTATTTGTAATATGCTACTATAAAGTTTTTTTTTAACTTAGCTACTAGCTGATGGTCACCTGGGAAAATATAAGACATGTGAGCAAATGGGTAAATGGGCCTACAACACCTAGATTGCTTCTAGCTGAGTCAAATGCGTAAAAGCTTGATCCATTTCATGGTCCGCGCGCTGGTAACTGAAACAGTCGACGTCCATTAGTGTGTGTCTATGTGCAAACGACCATGTCAACCGCTCCACATGGCATGGCAACGCTCCTCAGTCTGAAAACGCAAACTCTAGCAGGCGACGATCGCACGGTTTCAACACCATGTGACGGTCATGCCGGCGCCGGCGCCGGCGGTGCCGCCTCCGCCGAAGGCGGGTTAGGGTTTGGCCGTCTTCCCCGGATCTAGATCTCCAGCGGCAGGTTGGCCTGGCGGTGGGTTATGGTGGGTAGGCGGGGCTGCGAGACGGTGGAGCGCTGCGCCAGCCTTGGTGGTGGAGGTGGCAGTTTGGGCAGATAGGGGCAGGGAGTCTTGTCGGTAACCGGTTGATGGATGTGGCAAATTAGCAGAGGTTGGGGTTGACGGGCGGGGGGTGGAGGGCGAGCGGTGCAGCGAGGCGGCATGTCGCCAGCGCCCGTGGGCGGTGGTGGGAGGCGGCAAAGGGTGGGGTTGCATGCTCACGTGGGAGCGAGACCCATCGTGCGATAACTCTATCCGTCTGGAAATATCTCATGGGTCTAGAAAGCCTCCATGCTCTTCAGTCTTCTCTTTTGAGTCTCCCTCGCCACAAGACAGCACCGTGGTTGCTTCCTTCCTCCCGCCCAACTATCATGGTCACGATTGCTTCCTCACAACGTCGCGCCTTACAATTATAAATCGCACACTAGTGGTGGAGTCAGAGCTAATATGAAGAGGGTGGAAAATGAAGGTCTAGATCAGATATTCCTCAAATAAAGGACTACATTGCTCTCACTATGAATTAATCTTCAATGGCATATGTATTATTTAGGACTCTTTTTGTAGTATTTCTGATTTTCTTTGTTTCTACTATTATCATGATTTTTTTCTAGTCTAAGAATTAGATTGTTGGAGGAAGGCGCCTCTAGCTTGACCCCCCACCCGTCTCCTGACCTTCGCTCCGGGCCTGATAACTGACCCCGCTGCGAAGGTTTTCCTCCCCATCCCTTCTTTTCAGGTACCTTCGGCGAGACTTGGCTCGGGGGCCACTAACTACAGGGAAGGGCGCAAGACCGTTGGCGGGAAGGAGAACCCCCGACTGACATGGCGAGGGTTCGCCAGAAGCCACTGGAGCGACCCGACAAGGAGCCAGCGGCGGTCCCATTCGCCCAGTTAGGGTTAGGAGTGGTTGGTCCCGGGTTACGGAGGATTATCTCATTGCCCACGGCCGTTGTATTGGCTTTGCTGGTCAGTCGTCAACCCTTTTGTAATTTCAATACGGCCCCGGGTATGGGCTATAAATACCCCGGGACGCAGTTGTTCAAGAGAGGCCGTTTTTGGCAATTTATTGGGCATTTAATCCGCACTTATTTCTGGCGTTCCCTCCAGGATTCCCTCGCAAATCGCACCTGTATTGGTTTGATATGCTGTGGGAAACCCTCGGTCTCCCCCGCCTAGCCTCTAGTGAGGGTGAGACACTAGGAGTAACCCCATATAGATTAATTCGATGGAGGCTAGAGACCTAAGGCAAATTAATTAATTTTGTTCCCCTTTTTTGTAATATTTATTGTTTTTTGTCAAGTTTTTCATCCTCTTATGTATCATAACACATATTTATTTAATTGTTGTCTATATTCTTTCCGTGCATGCATTTTCTTACGTATGATTGCTGTCGGCTTGAAGACCCTCCATGTCGTGGGTAACCTACCCATGACACTGGTATGCAGCTGCAGGCTTGCCGTTGGCTTCGGGCTCTGCTTTTTGCTCCAAGCTTTCCAGCCAAGATTTCTACGTTAAGTCACCGTCGACTTTGACTCCGGTTGGTCTTACGGTTGAATAATTCTGGCCCATGTCTGATGCGTTCCTAGAGGTGTGATACATATGTCGACCTCAGTGCTTGTTGCCCTCTACTCCAAAGTCTTCCTGTGTGCATATCATTCATGACAAATTTCCACGATGTCGCTCTCAAATAATGTACCTCTCCGTGTGTATGCTCATACAACTGGCTGGCCACCACCCTGCAACCTATTTTTCTCAAATAAACAGGACTACATATCGTCACATTCAGAAGCTAGCAATGCTACAGCTAGTTCAACGTCACCAGGTTCTGATTTCCTCTGCTCTTGCAAAACTGATGAACAGGAACATTCTGACTCCTATGGCTATATGTATTGACAGATAGTATTTGTTGCTTTCTTCCCGATTGAGCATGCAGGACAGTCGAGTTCTACACGTTGCGTTGATCAATCCTAATGGCTGCACAGATGGTCAGTTCTGCAGTGGCCGAGGAGGCAGTTTGCCAAGCCTTATCAAAATTGGCATCATTTCCTTCTTGGAGGCGTGGCTAGGCTTTCGAGCTCCGCCGTTGCTCTCACGTCGTCTGGCCTTGGCGTTGCTCCAACATGTGTTGGTTGTGCTCAGAGCTGGTTGGTAGAGTTCGTTGTTTTTGCTAGTTGGTTCTTGGTTTCTTGGTTTGAATTGCTCTCATGTGCTTTTGTTGTCAGCTAGTTGCTAGTGCAGTTGAGTTGCTAGTCGGGACGTATTCGACCAAGTTGGCTAAGGTTTGAGCAAGTAGTAGGAGGGTAAAGTCATTATTAGTTGGTTGGACGATGTTCCAAAGTTGGTCAGGAGGAGTGTGCTCTCTCCGAGTCAGTAGTTTTTGGGCCCGGTTTTCACTAAAAAAACTGATGCGCACGCCATCCATTCGGTGACAGCTAGATGAACTAAAGAGATTTTCATTGTTATGATGACCACATAGGAAGGTTAATAGGAAGCTAGATAAAGGGATGTGTAGTGTAGAAATCAGTAACATTAATTCACGCTTTGTGATATAACACTACTATAAACTTGATTTTTAGCAACGGGAGTTTTTTAGAGGCAGTGGCCTCCAAACCGAGCCGCCTCTAGAAATGCATTCGTTGAGACGTCTGTTATTTTGAGCCGCCCCTAAAAATATCATTTTTAGAGGGGACTCTACTTTCAGCCGCCTTTAGAAATCGATTTATAGAGGCAGCTCTATTTCCAGCCGCCCCTAGAAATCTATTTCAACCGCCTCTAAAAATAGAAGCTGCACAGTAAAATTTGATTTTTTTCGAACTACCTCAGATGGAGAAACGACACGAACGAAAGCTGTAGATCTAAAAAAATATGCAACTTTGTATTTGACAACTTTTTCATTTGAAATCATCTATGCATGGAAAATTACGTTTGAATTTCTCACATTTCAAATTCAAAATTTTCAAATTACCTTGGATGAAGAAACGGCCAAACCAAAGTTGTAGATCTCGAAAAGTTATGCAACTTTGTGGTTGTCAACCTTTTCATTTGAAATCATCTATGTATGAAAAATCTATGTTTGAATTTCTCACGTTTTGAAATGTGAAAATTTTCAAACAACCACGGATGGAGAAACAACCAAAACAAAAGTTGTATATCTCAAAAAGTTATGCAACTTTGTAGTTAATGACTTTTTGATTTGAAATCATCTATGCAGAAAATCTACATTTAAATTTCTCACATTTGAAATTTAAATATTTCAAGCGACCTCGGATGGAGAAAAAATAAAACTAAAGTTGTAGATATCGAAAAGTTATAAGACTTTGTTGTTAACAACTTTTTTATTTGAATTCGTTTAGGACCCCAAATACTCATTTGAAAATTGGATGAAGGTAAAATGAGGAGGATGAATATCCCAAATAGATACAAGTATGTTATGGGAGAAGTGGTTAGGGGACGAACAAGCGAGGCCTGAGGTTGTGCATGTTTTTCACGCGAATAGCTGCTGACTAGTGATGGCGCGCATGTGGCTATTGGGTGTCCCAGGATTATTTTTTTACCTGAATTTATGATTTTTCTGGACAAGCCGTCTCTACAAATCGTTTTCTAGAGGCGGCTGGAGAACCACCTCTACAAAGTCGTACAAATTGTTCATTTGTAGAGACGAGGCGGCTTGTCAACCGCCTCTATAGAGGCATCACAGCCGCCTCTGAAGAGATTTGACCAATAATAAATAACTAAAATCATATTTAACTGACAGCTATACCACAGGCGTTATTTGACTCATGAAATAGTGATATTGCGAATATCTTTTTTTGAGGAAGTAATATATTGCGAATATCAAAGTTGAAGTATATTTTTTGGGTAACAACACGACACATGCACATACTTGTATTCTACTTTTATTAGTCCACCGTCGACTAGATTGCTCGGTCCTGTGTATGGAATTCTAGCGCACAATTGGACATGCTGCCCACACCTGACGCGATCCTAGCTAACTTCCATTAGCAAACTCCCATTGCCCACAATCGACGTCTTCCATTTGGTCCCTCTCACAAATGAAGACCTCTCAATATGACCTCTCACAACTGACCGGCTGGGCAGGATAGATTCCCCAACTCTTGTGTCTCAGTTGCTGTGGTGTCAGACTTTCTGAGACCCTACACAGCTACTTCAAGTGTTCAAACACGCAAGGTTTTGATTTCCTCTCCGCACTTGCAGTTTACAAGATCAATCATAGAATTTAGACTGATGAACAGGGACCATCTGACTCATATATGTATGCAATATTTTGCTTTCTTTCTGTGCATGCAGGACAACCGATTCTACAGGTTGATTTGATTAGTCTTAATGGCAGCAGAGATGGTCGGTTCTGCGGTGGCCCAGGAGGCTGTTAACGAAGTCTTATCAAGAATCAAGGAGGGTTATGCGGAGAAGTCAGATGCAAAGGAGCACATAGAGAGGATGGAGATGGCGCACATCAAGCTAGAAGCCGCCCTTGAGACAGCCAACAAGTGGAACATCACCAGCGTGCCACTGCTGCGCTGGCAGAGCAAGCTCAAGGGTGCCACACAGGAGTGCAACCACACTTTGCGCCGGTGCAGGCAGCGATTACAAGAAGAGGAAGAAGTGCAGCAAGCGGTACAGAGCTCCTCCTTTCCTAACAGGGTTGCTCATACTGCTATGTCATTTGTTTCGTCGATCTTTAGTAGCGGTAACGACGACAAGCTCAGAGGATCCACCGTTGTCCGTCGATTTGAGCGCTTTGCAGATGGTGCGACCGAGTTCTTGAGGTACGTGGAGCTTGGTGGCACACCATACAGATACATGTTCTCGGTGCCTCTTATACGCCATCTTCTCGCTGGCAAAGGAACAAAGTATTGCTTTGTTCGTGGGGGCCAACATCTCTCATTTATTCTACAGCCCTTTAGTCTGCCCAACAATGGGATGGGAGGGGGGCGGGGGCCTTGGCTTGGTATTCTTACTTGAAGATGGCCATGTGCCACAGAATAATTTCCTTCTTTCCCTCAACTTACGGCTCTCTGAGAGTACTGACATAGTTGGGGTTGTAGTCAGATGCCTGTAGCTGTTCATACCGTACTTGAGCTCAACAGCCGAGAATGTGAAGACAAAGCTGACCCAGATGCCAACGCAAGACTTGTGTTGGGTGTTCGATGCTTATTCAGTTTATGGCTGTGATGAACAACAGAATAGACTTCGCACCAAGTGTTCTAAATGGTTTCGACCAAACCCATTTTGTTGTCAACAACAAGACCATCCCCATGAACAGAGCTCCTCTTCAAAATCATTGCCATGTGATATATACTTGGAACCAGTTTTCCAAGTGTATTTGCTAGGACATGTTGCACTGTCAGTTGGGAACAATAGGCAGAGCGCAGTCATCGATGGCGAAAGCCAAACAAGGCCCACGAGAGACTTTCCATGTCTGAAACTTGGAGCACACTTCTGGCCTCATGCCTCTTTTGAAGATTTGTCACCTACTGTCGGAGGTTCAGTGTCAGAGATAATCAACGATGAAGCCAAACAATCTGGCTTGTATGCAAACATTTCCTTTGAACAGCTGGGCGAGATCACGATGCCAAAAGCAGTAGATTGCCTTAGTAGGAATGTGGAGGCTACCTCATATCAGATGTTGTGGAAGTCCAAGCATGGAAGCGCATACCTTCGGGTCGAGAAGACCTCATGGAGAGCAACTACGGCCTGAGCTTATGTTGTAGACTCCTTTGTGGGCCGGCAATATAGGCGCTGGGCTAGGAGGGCCACAGCCAACAGAAGTGGCTGAGGCGTCAGTCAGGTTTAGAAGAGAATAAGGATCTGATGGTTATTTGTTAGGAAGTGCACCTAGACTATAAAGGAGGCACTTAGTGAATGTAATCAGTTTTATTGAAGAAGAATAGAACCTCCCAGCGGGTGGGGTTCCTCTTCAACGGTGGCTGCACGCGGTTCAGCCGCTGCGGCCGGCGATCTCCCCACCGTGCCATTGCGTCGCTACCCTCTCCGTTTCAATTCCCAGTCTAGGCTGCTTCTCCAATCTCCTCTGCGCTCTCCACGGCGTCCACGCCGTATCAATTTGGTATCGGAGACCATCTCTGGTGCATCGACCTCCATGTCCAGCACCGTTCCCGATCCTGCGGCCATGGATGCTAAGCTCGACCGCATTTTGGGCCAACTGACCACCATGAAGAATCGCCTCAACTCCCACGACGCCCGGCTCGCGTGCATGGAAACGGGCAAGCCCGCTGCTGGCAAGGGCGCCGGCGGGGATGACGACCAGGGCAGTAACGACGAGAACCATGGTGGCGGTGAGGATGAGGATGACGGGCGTGACGTGGAGCGGGATCGCGCCTGGGCAGCCTTCCACGAACGCGCGCTTCGCAATCGGGAGCATTACTTGGACTCGCCCGATTGCTTTGACCGTGGTGATCAGGGGCGCTTCGACCACGAGTTTTACGGATGCGACAGCCACGACTATGATGACCAGGGCCCGCGTGACTATGAACGCGTCAGTCGTGACTACAACCGCGGGCCTGGGGATTTCGACCGTGGTGGATGTCGCGGCTATGATTGCGGCTTCTGGGACTTCGACCACGACGGCCGTCCCTTCGATCGCGGTGGCCGTTACCACGGGGACACCGACGGCCACCGCAAACCCCACCGCCCATCCAAGATCTCCTTCCCTAGCTTCGACAGCGAGTCCGACCCGTTGACATGGCTGAACAAGTGCGACAACTTCTTCCACGGCCATCGCACGTCGGAGGATGAGAAGGTGTGGATGGCGTCGCTGCACCTCGACGGTATCGCTGTGGAGTGGTACTATCAAATGGAACGTGACTTTGGCATGGTTCCTTGGCCGCACTTCGTTGACTTCATCAATCTCCACTTCGGGCCCCCATCTGCGCCAACTCCCTCACCGAGATCAAGGCCCTGTTCCGTACGGGGACGGTGGAGGAGTACTCGCGGCGCTACCTCACCCTCCTTTCGTGCTGCGACCACCTCTCCACACGCACCAAGATCGATCTGTACGCTGGTGGCTTGGGCCAGCCCCTAGCCTCCAATGTGGAGATGTAGCATCCGATGAACCTGCAGCAAGCCATGAGCCATGAGCCATGAGCCATGAGCCACGGGCAAAGGCAGATGGAGGCCTCGACTGTCAATAGCTCCACGGCGCCTAAGCCTTCGGGGCGCCGCGACAGCGTGTCGGTCAGCATTGGCGTCTCGAGCACCATCACGTAGGACGGCAAGACTGAGGGTCTGCGCCCTCACTTTCGTCGTCTCACAACGGCTAAGATGCAGGAGAAACGACAGAATGGGCAGTGTTACTTTTGCCCTGAGCCATATAGCAAGGAGCACAAGTGCGCCGCCAAGGGTGGTGTCTTCCTCATGGACCTGGCAGACGGCGAGGAGGACCTGCTCAGCGGCATCACCAACTTGGAGATCTCCCTCCACGCACTAACTGGCCTCAACTCCGCTGATTCCATGATGTTGCAGGTCATAGTAGGCGGCGTAAAGCTGCGGGCGCTGGTGGACACTGGCTCCACCCACACGTTCATCCACTTAGCGCTCGCGCAGCACCTGGGTCTCATTGTCTCCCCGTATGCTGGCCTCAATGCCATGGTGGCCAATGGTGACCAGGTGCGCAGCCCTGGCATCTGTCTCGCTACTCCAGTCACCATCTACGATGAGGTGTTCTCCATCGACTGCTTCGCGCTCAACTTTGGCGCCGTTGACCTGGTCCTCGGCGTTCAGTGGCTGCGAACACTCGGGCCCATCGTTTGGGACTTTGGCGCCCTGGCGATGTCCTTCTGGTACAATGGTCGCTCCCATCACTGGAGCAGTGTGAGCAGCTGGGGCTTGGCCGCTCGTGCCATCACTGATCTCCCCGCTGTCCTAGAGGAGCTGCTGCAATCCTACCAGGACATCTTTGAGGAGCCTTGTGGCCTGCCGCCACCATGCCGCCATGATCACTGGATTCACCTCCTGCTGAGCACCCCGCCGGTGGCGGTGCGTCAGTACTGGTACCTGCAGCTCCTCAAGGATGAGATCAAGTGGTAGTGCGAGGACATGCTGGGCTAGGGGATCATCCAGGAGTTGACTGCCGGTGCTCCTGGTCCGCAAGCACGACGACAGTTGGCACTTCTGTGTCGACTACCGTGCCCTCAATGGCGCCACCGTCAAGGACAAATTCCCGATTCCTGTGGTCGACAAACTCCTGGACGAGCTGAAGGGTGCCCGCTTCTTCACCAATATCGACTTACGCAGCGGGTGGCACCAAGTGCATATGCATCCGGACGACGTTGCCAAGACCACCTTCCAGACGCACCGGGGGCACTTTGAGTTCCTCGTCATGCCCTTTGACCTCACCAATGCACTGGCGACATTCTAGGCCCTCATGAACGATGTGCTGAAGCCATTCATCCACCGCTTTGTTTTGGTTTTCTTTGATGATATTCTAATCCATAGTCCCTCGTGGGCTGTACACTTACAACATGTCAAAGTGGTGCTGCAGCTCATGCGCGATCATCGTCTCTTCGCCAAGTGGTCCAAGTGCTACTTCGGCGAACCATCCGTGGCCTACCTCGGCCACATTATCTCCACCGAGGGTGTTGCCATGGATGCTGAGAAGGTCGCTGCGGTGGAGGCTTGGCCTCGTCCTCGCTCGGCCCGCACCCTGCGTGGGTTCCTTGGCCTCACCGGGTATTACTGGAAGTTCATCGCCGGTTACGGTGGCGTGGCGGCGCCGCTCAATGCCCTCCTCAAGCGGGAGGCCTTCACCTGGATGGCCGCAGCGGAAGCCGCCTTCCTCGCCCTCAAATCGGCGCTGGTCACCGCGCCCCTCCTCTAGTTACCGGACTTCATCAAGCACTTTGTCGTGGACTGCAACGCGTCCGGCACTGGTTTTGGCGCTGTGCTACACCAAGGTGACGGCGCCATTGTGTTCTTTGGCCGGCCGGTCGCTCCTCACCATGCCAAGCTGCCGGCCTATGAGTGCGAGCTTATTGGGCTGGTCAAGGTCGTCCGTCATTGGCGGCCTTACCTCTGGGATCATGCGTTCACCATTCGAACCAGTCACAGGAGCCTCGAGTTCCTCCTCGACCAGCGCCTGACGACCATCCCTCAGCATACATGGGTCTCCAAGCTGTTCGGGTATAACCTCACGGTCGAATACCACGCAGTGAAGTTCAACACCGTCATGGACGCGCTGCCCCGCCGTGACGAGGAGGCGGCGCTAGTGGTCCTATCCGGCCCACTCTTTACTGATTTCGACACCATGCGTGCAGAACTGCAGGAGGATGCAGCAGCATAGGACTCGTGGCATCAGATTGCTGCTGGCACAGCACTGGAGGGGTGGCAGCTGGTCGACGGGCTGCTGCTATACAACAGCCGCATCTTCGTCCCGGAGAGCTCCAGCCTTTGGCCACAGTTTCTCTGTGATGCCCATGAGGTCGGCCATGAGGGTGCTCAAAAGACCCTCCATCGTCTGCAGGCTTTGTTCTACAACAGTCGCGCACATCGTCCGGCCCACTCTTTACTAATTTCGACACCCTACGCGAAGAACTACAGGAGGATGCAGCAGCACAGGACCTGCGCCATCAAATTGCTGCCGGCACAGCACCGGAGGGGTGGCAGCTGTTCGACGGGCTGCTGCTATACAATAACCGCATCTTTGTCCTGGAGAGCTCCAGCCTTTGGCCACAGTTGCTTGTGATGCCCATGAGGCCGGCCATGAGGGTGCTCAAAAGACCCTCCATCGTCTGCAGGCTTCATTCTACAACAGCCGTGCACATCGCCTGGTCCGCGACTTTGTTCGAGGGTGCGCCGTCTATCAGCGCAACAAGACGGAACATCTCCACCCGGCGGGTCTCCTCTAGCCCCTGCCTGTGCCATTTGGAGTCTGGAGTGACATCGCCATGGATTTCGTGGAGGGCTTTCCACGGGTCGGTGGGAAGTCAGTCATCCTGACAATCGTC